TTTTAGATGGGACAGTACGGGAAAATCCGAAACCATAGAAGATACAAGGAAACTGTCTTAGGAACCATTAAATCCTTTTTTTGCGAAACCAATTTAGGCACAGATAACTTCTGCTGTCCCGGTGTTTTTCATCCCATACAATGAAATGATTCTTACATAAAAGTGAGTCGATCAGCACTAAAAAAAATTTTAATCAATTTTATGAACAACTCACGCTTAAAAAAATATTCACTATGCAAAAATTATTTTCACAAAAAAGACTTTGACAGCTGGTTCTAGTTCCTAAGATAGTTTCCTTATATCTTCTATAGTTTCGGATTTCCCCATACTGTCCCATTTAAAAAAAACGCTGTGTAGATAGATGGTCGTACTCTCGTGCTTCCAAAATAATGCCTTTATGTATAATGTTGTGCCACATATTTCATTAAATGGTAAGCCTTATGAAATAAATAAATAAATGTCAAGCTATGTTTAATATTATTATTTGTTTTTCAAAATAAGTGCGCATTTGACTTGATAGAAAGTGATGATGGAGACAACGATGGAGCCTATTAAATCTCGCCTTGCAGTCCCCATACAGCGTTCACGGAATAAGTCTGCAGGCAGAGAATTCCGTAAAACCGTTCGCTTTATAAATGTGGAAACACAACGCTTCGTGCTTATCTTTGGAATTTCCACAACATCGGGGTGGAACCGCTGCTTATGTCTTGTTCCCCGATGACGGAAAGGGATTAAGTCATGCAATTCCATCGCACACTCTATATCCTGTAGAATACCGATAAGCAAGCAACTTTACGGCGATGTTCAATGTCCCGCAGTTTCATCTTTCTTAATTCCTAGTCACCAATAAGCCTCTCTTGCTTTTCAATTGAAAGTTATAAGTTATGGAAATAGAAATTTACAGTATCGATTGGTTTGTAATCTTTAGACCCGGATCCACGAAACAATTATTCTTTAACTTTGTGTCAAGGACCAGTTTTCATACAAATATTTTTGTAAAATAATATTCTAATGCTAGTTTTATAAACCTATAGTATAGCAATAGTATAGTGTGTGTCAATGAAAAATAGAAATGAGCATAATATTGTTTTTGAGCAAGTAGTTAGGCTCAACTCACACTGGCGCAGAGTGGAAGCGTCGCGTCGCGTCTTGTTTTTCAACTACAACGCGCGACGGCACTCGCATTAGTGCGTCCGTATCACAGTGTGGTCGACGTCTGACGCCTCACTGCGCCCTTATAACGCGCGTCGACGCGCGAAGCCGCTCGACACCGTATTTGCAAATGCATTGCACAGATTTAGCATAGAACACAAATTTGTACCTTAATAACGGGAAAATAGAGATGAATATGCTATAGGCGACAAACATGACGCGTCGCGACGCTTCGACTCTGCACCAGTGTGGGTTGAGCCTAGTGTTATTGGCTCCACGACATAGGAAACGAAAGACTATGGTCGATAATTTCATATTAGTACTTTACAAGAACTTAAAATTTTATATAAAAATAAACTTGTGCAAATGATTTTTTTTTACAAATTTTAAATTATAACTCATACTTTTTACTTTAAATAAATATGTTTTATTTTATTTGCCAATCTTATCGATCGTATGTATCAATAATAACGTCGTTAAGTAGTATGTGCACCATCCATTATGAGAATTAATTGTTGGAACACGGTGAAAAAAGTACGCACTCTCTGCTGTCTATAATGGATCTAAACTGGATATTTTAATTAACACTTGGTTAGTGGAGTAGGTGATTTATTCAATACCGAGAAGATCAACTTGTGTATATATATTTGTATATAGAATGTTAGTGTTGTCACGCGAGTTGCATTGTAATTGGAATACAGACATTGGTTGAGTATCAATTGCTATATACCTGTATCACAACTACAAACACTTGGTAAAAAAACTATACAAGCTGAACAGCCAAATATACTATATATTATAATATAATATATATAATATATAATATAAATACTCTATTTTACACAAAGTCTCGCAGCCCGTTCAGGGCTGCTGTAGGCAGAGATGGACAGTGGGTTAAAACCCAATCAACCCGGCCGGGCTTAGACTGGAATTTTATCCAAAGCGCGTTTTAACACATTTCGGCCCAAAATCATGGGCGGAAACATTATAGGCGTAAAATTATAGGGAATTTTGGTATGCTTCATTTCATACTTATTACAAATTGCAACCTAAAAAATATTTTTTAGACGTAAATTATGCCTCACACACAACAACCACTTCGCAATCCTGGAGACTCTCACTTACTACTAGGGATATACAATATGATTCGATTTTTATATATATTTAAAATTGATTCAGGTGTACTTATTATATTACATTAACATTAACGATTACATTACATTAACGATTTTTTGTATCCACTTATTTCAATGAGATTTTCAAAGGAATCGTTTCAATAGAAAGGCAAAATATGTAATCAACAATAAACATTTTGTTATATATATCACAGGCATTGCTATGCTTAAAAGGAGACTCCTGATACTAATATTGCAAAATGTAAACAGTTAAAGAAATAAACTGTTATTATTATATATGCATCAAATATGCGTCATTCCTCGTACTTCGTTCTTGGCGCAGTATGCGATGGATGCCATTTTGGATTTAATCGACAAGCGTGGCTATAGGCTTATAGGTGATTCGGAGTTAGTAGAGGTGAAGTGGTAGAGCCTTAAACACCGCCGTGAACTTGGTTGTTTATCGGTAATCTTCGAGGTGTATAAAGAAGAGTGAGTGATGGAATTTCTTAATTTGATTCCGCCTTCTCCTTTCCATCATCGGGCGACTAGACATGGGCTGAATTTCCACCCCTATGTTGTCGATATTCCCATTTCGCACGAAGAGTTTCGCTTACACATTTATATGGCGAGTGGCCAAGGAGTGGAATTCCCTGCCTGCGGACTTATTCCCCAAACACTATGACTTGGACCTTTTCAAGGCGAGAGTGAATAGGCATTATTTAGCTGTGCATGCCACATCGTCGACCTCATTGTCACTTTCCATCATGTGAGAAGGATGTGAAATGCGCACTTATATTTTATAAATTAAAAAAGTTTAGTTTAAAGTCGTAGTATTCTGCAGCAGTCCATTATTGTATAAAAGCAGCAAAATCATAAACCGTAATTGTTAACATATAACCCGTTCATGGACAGTACATAAATAGTACCGCACACAAAAATGTCAATACTTTAATTTGTCCTTAAATTGATTCAATATAAAATGTTCAATGAATATTGAATTTTGTCAGTAGGTTGTTGATTCTTCTCTATGTGAAATCAGTAGGCGGCAACTGCCCGTACTATCATATTCTGATTTTCAATTTGACGGCAAACGTCGTTAACATACATTTTATATAACACGTTATGCGAAGCTAAGATTATTTCGTGGCTCATGAAAAATCAATATATGTAATATGTAGGGGTAAGAAAAAAAGGTTGTGACAGTCGGCAAATTTGAATTCCTACTCCAACGTGTAATAATCAAATTTACTCAGCTCTCACGCGGTGTTCTTGCTAAATATTGCAAATACAATTTTTTGTGCTTCGTGCCTACACAAGCGCTCGTAAATTCTTACACTGAACATTATTTACTGCCTCTGTGGCCGAACGGTTAAATGCTGGTCTGCCACGCAGAGGTTCGATCCCGGGTTCGATTCCCGCCCGAAAGAAATACTTGTACGCCCTCATTTATTTCTCTTTAATGGTTTCTTTTTTATAGTATCAAGTGCCGGTTGAACAAGTCGTGCGCGTGGTGGTAAGCTACGCGCTTGTCCATGAGAGTTGTACTGCCACTCAGAGCTGGAAATCGCAAATATTTGGAGGGCACTGCAACTGCGCGCATCACCCATAGACATAAGTTGACAAGTCCCATGTACCTGTACCGGAGCGCAGCAGAAATTGATAAGGTGGCAGTACTTCCTACCTATATAAGAACAATAATTCCTAATCTACCAATGTTCATACTTAGCCAAGAATCTCAAGTTACTTTTGTGGTGCACAAAAGGAGCCTCCCCGTATCACGTACCACTGCTTTCCTGTATTGATGATTGGTAAATTCTTCATCACTGTGTCAAGGATTATTATATGCATGCCCCCGATACAATAAAAAAGCTTTAAAGAGCTTAAAGTAGGGTTATAATCAAGTTTTGTAGATTGTTTCTGCCAATAAATATCATTAATAATATTTCACGCTGGACAAAAAACAAAATTTCGTGATTTAAGTAATACTGCTCACGTTTGGCCAATAATGTCAATGTGGTTTCTACACTAAGCTTTGGGTTATACGCTCACAGCGAATAAGAAGATTTTCGCACAAAAAAATGTACAACGACTTCCAAATTGAACATTCCCTCAGGGAAATCGTGTAATATTTGTAAATAATATTCATATTCAGATGTATTGTGTTAAAACAATACAAATGATGATTTGGGAATATATCTATTATCCTTTTGACATAAAATATATTTTTAAATTTGTTATGAATTTTATATGTACCCTAAAGTTTTCTTATAGTCCAAAACAAATGATTTGATTTTTTTTTTTCAACAAGAAAAATATTGTAGTGTTTATTGGTAATAGCAGATATGATATGAAAATATGATATGGCATGAAAACAAATACGGTCGTAACTTAAAAATGGTGAAAAATGTGTAAATGTGTAAAAATGGTATTGAGAAGACACGATTTGAAAATAAAACCAATTGAATGAATCTTATTGCGAATAATGGATTTTTTATACACAACATTTAGTTGGCCCCTTATGAAAGAGAATATAACTTTATTGGTTCCATTCAGTAATTTTTGAGCTTTCAAATCGAGTTTTCTTAATTCCACAATTTTAGAGTTATGATAGTATTTAGTTTCACGTGAGATGTATTTTTTTAAACCATAGACTAGATAACTTTACAGCTTAAAAGCTTTACAGTACGTCCAATCTTCTATATCCCTAGTAAAAAGGTAAAAGAAACTCACTTCATTGTCAATGTCACTTGCCCTCGCGATTCCGAACAGCAGAACTGCTAAAAGGAATACCTTCATTTTTAAATTCTTTTAATCTGTCCGTCACAACACTGGCACTTTCACAGTTGACAAGCACTGCACCTAGGCGTAGAGGGAAAATGCACAACGCAGAGAAATAGTACTGTTATATATGAACACGCATGACTGAATACGCAGTGGGGTGTTGGACGTCAGCTCATAATCAAAATAATTTTTGTTTTTAATTTTCTGTGGGAATTTCAGGGCATAGATTATTGGTTTGTATACACGGACTTATAGTTCAGTTTAATTAAAAAGTAATATACGCACATGCGCTATTTTACGCTATTTTCTACGACACACATGATGGGGTAGCCGTATGAACTCGTTGGTCCAACGATTTGCACGATGGTCGCTTAATGAGGTCCCAGGTACAGGGAATCACCGAGTATGAGACCAAATTGATGTGGTTGTCTCACACCGACTGAGGAAACCCAAGCTCAGTAGTGGCAAAATATGTATAACATTAACCTACCAATAAAGACACAGTTAATTACACATTTTAATATTTGTGTGTGTGTAATATTCTACATAATACTGTATGGACAATAATTCACGTTGAGTACAGGCTACATCATTACTATTTTCAAGTAGTTTTTACTAGAAGCTAAATTTATGGTAAACTTTTTTATGTTTCCAGTAAAAGTTGAATATGGCGAATTTTTGGGCCTTCAAAATGTTACAAGCAAAATTAAGCAGTACTGCAATGACGTTACAATTTCAATTAAACGTTTTAGTTTTTTATATTTCTTTATCTCAATACGTTTATATAGGTAACTCTGGACTTTTTTTATGGGACGAATGATAATAAAAAATATAAATGATAATTTGAATTCACTTCAAAAAATATTCAGTCCATCTGGCACGTCGGCGATTATAATTAAAAAGCTATAAATTATGTGCCATCTGTTTGGAACGAGTTGCGTGTCTTTTTTCGATTTATTATTCTAATCCACTGTTATTATTCCTATGGCGAATAATTAGACAACATTTCTGAGTGCCATTTCTTTGTTTAGAAAATAATTTTATTTAACAAAATCAAAATTAAACGGTAATTTTATTTGACTTATATATCTGCGAAACAGAAAAAAACACGAAATTTTTTTGTTGTTGACAAAAAAATGTCAGGTGTTTTTGTAATTGCTGTTTTACACCAATAAATTTTTGGTTTAAGTACATTTACGTTTTGAGTTTCTTAACTACTTTTTATCTTTTTGAGCTTAAGACACTATAGCCAATGCTCTATATATAAATAAATATATTTTTATTGATAATAACATTTCAACAAAGATTTCAATAGGTAACGTTTTTTAATAGGTAACGGCATTTCATATATTCAAAAGAAAACAAAAGTTGTCACGTACGTGGAAGTCAACTTTTTAAAACGAAAATGTTTTTAGAGTATCCAATTTTATACATTATTTTCTATGTGTATGTGTATTTTGGTCTACAGGAAGAAATTTCTTTTAGAAATAAGCAGTACGTTTTGTTTATGTGTTCCGTTATGGTTCCGTTTTACTAAATGTGATTTGTGTTCTCCTGTGCAATAAATAAATAATTTAAGTAATTATTTACATATAATGTATAATAGAAAGGATTCCACATTTCCCTTTGAACGTAAGTATGCTTTCACATTAGACAGATATATCCCAGACCGACAGAGGTTATTCCCAAGAACATAGTTAATAATACGGGTAACAACTTTTCCTTATTTCTGCGGTCAAGAAACAATTTGAGCATTACCGCGTGCCAATTTTGAAAAGTAAGGGGTGCTGGCAATGTAATCCCTTTTGGTTGTTTCCAATAAAAAAATGATACTGGCCACCATCGTGACGCGTTTGCTCTTTGTTCTTTTTAAAATGTGTTGCTGTTGTGTGCTGAATATTACGTATCGCTGTGCATGGGTTGGAAGATAAAAAGAAAATATTTAAAAATGAGCAACTACTTTTGAAACTGAATGTCACTCGTCAAACAAATGAAATAAACATGCATTACCCTTGCAGATATATTTAAAAAAGTACCCATGATCGTCTTTCGGTATCTCACACGTTAGTTGTTGTAAATAAAAATACCCTTTTTTGCTTTTTAGCTTAAATGTATTATATTTTTTTATTTATATTATACGTTCCATGTTTGAAAGTAAACATAACACTAACAGCCTATGCAAACGGCGTATTTTATACGCGCCGTATACGCGCGTGTACACGCCACAGACGCGCTGTATCCGCGCGTATACATCACGCATTTTGACAAGAGATAGTTTTATTTTTTGGTTTTGTTTGTTAATTTCAGTTAGTTTGTTAAATGAAGCAACTACATGAAATCTTAAGTGTAAACTCCAGTGGAGCATGTAAGCTTCTTGCTTGCAACACAATGTTTGCGCGCGTTTAAATCGATTCACACAGCGGCAGCGCGTCTGTATCGTACAGTCCCATATCTTTCTACATAAGTTTTGTTTATAGTGCCCCTCCCTATTAACTTCTTGGTTATGTGGGAAGGGCACTGTGACCTGTGCAAACGAACTTGCACAGGGATCTAACCCCTCCCGTCCTAACCCCGGATCAGCACGTTTGCACGCATTTCATCCGGTTCGCTGTAAGGCTAGTGCCTTATATGAGACGCCCCGGGTGCACGTACAGTACCCTCCCTATTTTCCAGATAGGTGCCGGAGCTGTAGGCACGCTCACTTCCCATCGCGCTCCGCACGACTAACGGTTGCCACCGCTGAGCCGCCGACTCTAGGCCGACTACCAAAATTCAAATTCAAATTCAAATTCAAAATAATCTTTATTTCATAGGTAAGCATTATTACACTTGAAATCGTCACAATGGTTAAACTCTACCGCTCATTCGTAAGGCAGATTCCCCTGAGAAGAATGAGCAAGAAACTCTAGGGGTTGCTCTTTGTCCGTGTGCAGTTGCTGGTCTGCCATCGGACGCGTCCCCAGGTGGCGGATAGGGGAACGGCTCCCAGATATGGGAGCTACCGGCTTCGGCCGGCGCGGACCAAAACCAGCACCGGGAGGGGAGGAAGATAGCGTTGGTTCCGTCCGGCGCTATCGAACTCGTAACCGAGACGGTGGGCGGTGCTCGGTCTCAGAACCGGCTCCGGCCAACCCGTAATCCCACATGGAGTGTGACCGGGGGTCCTCCTCACTGAGAGGAGGGCTGCGAGGAAGAAAACCTCTATAAAAAATCACCCCAATCCCAAGTTCTAGCGCCCGGCGATGGGATGAATGGCTGGTGGGTGTCCAGTCATCAGGGCGCACCAGTGGGGAGCTCACCCTCTTTCAAAGCAAGCATAAATATGGAACAGGCACGTTTTAAAAATGGTCCCCAGGCGGGTCCCCGAAAGGGGGAATCCCGCCCATCCGCTTCGGCGGATGGCAGCCCCTCGTACTCTGGGGGGGCAAAAACTGCCTCGTGGGTCGGCCGGAAGTCGACCCTCGTGAACACGACAAACGCACACCAATAACGGACAACGATTTTGCACACGACACGGCAAATACGGATCGCACGAGTGCCTCCAATGTGGTGGTGAGCATTCTCTCCGACAATGAGTCGGAGGGTGAGACGATGCTCTCGACCCTTTCGGACGGAGAGGCCACCCTCTCTGAGGGGAACTCACGCGTGGTTTCGCGCTCCAGGTCAGCCGGAGAGAAGGGATCCTCAAGGGCTCCCAAGCGCGCCGCCCCCCCGTCGAACGAATCTATGGAGCCCGAAAGGGCTCCAAAGATTAGCACGGCCCGTAGGGGCAGACCTAGAGGCCCCGGGAAGTCCTTCCCCGGTGCGGCAACGGCAGGGAGGGGGCGCTCTAGCTCGTCAGAGTGGAACGCCCTCCAGAAGGATGCGGACGCGGCCTTCTTCAAGGAGGCCCTGGGCCGGGGTCAGGCCGGAGAGGCTGAACCCGATGGCATGGCGGGCCTCATGCGAGAGACCCTGGCCCAGGAGGCACGAGACGGCCTCGCAGCAATATTGGCGGAGACCGCCAAGTCCTCTAACCTCAAGGGGACGGTGGTCAAAGCCATAAAAGAGGCCGTCAGGAAGGTGGAAGGAGCCGTCAATTTCCTTCACCGTGGAGAGACGGCGACAGAGGCGGCGCGGCGGATGTCGGAAGACAACCGCCGGATGAGGGGGCAGCTCGCTGCTCTGGAAACGGAGATGAAGGCCCTGAGGGGGGCCTACTCCGCTGCTATGGCCAAGGCCAAGGCACAGGTGGCCCCACCGCCGTGCAGCTCCGCAGAGATGCACGCGGGAGTGAGGGAGGCCATCGACGATCTCAGGCGGGACATCTTCTTCTCGATGAGGAATATGATCGACGCCCGCCTGGGGGACATCGAAAGACGCCTCCCTGCGGAGTACCTACGCCCCCCCCTGGGCGGCAGAACAGGGGCACCCGCCCCCGAGGCGACGCCTGCCGTCACCGCAGTCGCCCCGAGGTTGCTCCCCTCCGCCGCGGCCCCCGAGTCAACACCGGGCCCCTCACTGGCTCGAAACGCGCCTGCCGGTCAGCGGCCCAGCAAGAAGGCCAAGAGGAAGGCTCCCCCGCGGAAGGTGACTGCTGCCCCTCCTGCAGCGCCCACCGCCGTTCTCGCCGTCCCTACCGCCCCTGACGCGACGGCCTCCACGCCGACTGACCAGGCGGAAACGCCCTGGTCACAGGTAGTCGGCCGCAAGGCCAGAAAGGCCAAAACGGCAGCTGCCCGGGCGGCACGGGCCCCCGCCAAGGCGGCCCCTAAGACGGCTCCCAGACCCAGGGCTCTCGCCACCCCAAGATCATCGGCGGTGGTGATCACGCTGAGGCCCGAAGCGGTGGCGGAAAAGGGGGCAACTTACAAGGTGGTCCTTGAGGCGGCGACCGCTGCGGTCGATTTGGGCAGCCTCGGCATCCCGCACGTGCGGGTGCGGAATACCCAGACGGGTGCCCGCGTAGTCGAGGTGCCCGGGGCGACCAGCGCCGAGAAGGCCGACACCCTGGCGGCCAAGCTGGAGGAGGCAATCGGGGGGCTGGCGACAGTAACGCGGCCTACCAAAACCGCCGATCTAAGGGTCACCGGTTTTGACGAGTCAGTGACCCCGGAGAAGATCCGGGCGGTGGTGGCCGCGAGGGGCCAATGCCCCCAGTCCGCCGTGAGCGTGGGAGCCGTCAGACTGGCCCCCAACGGGAGGGGGTCAGCCCTCGTCCGCTGCCCGGTGACGGCAGCCCAACGGGTGGCGGCTGCCGGCCGCATATTGGTGGGGTGGTCCTCCGCCGGGGTCCATGTGATGGAGCCCCTCCCCATGCGCTGCTTCAGGTGCATGGGGATTGGTCACACCAGAGCCCTCTGCCCGTCCAGTGTAGACAGGAGCGGGCTCTGCTTCAGGTGTGGCCAGGTGGGACACTCGGCCTCCGGGTGCACGGCGACCCCGCGGTGCTCGGTCTGCACCGCGGCTCGCCGCCCAGCGGACCACGTGATGGGGGGGCGATCTTGCGCTCCCTCCCCCACCAAGGGCAAGTCGGCGGGGACCCCAGGCCCCCCCCCTATTGAGGGACAAAGTATGGAGCAGTAATGCCAGCACGCCACCATATTATACTGCAGGGCAACCTCAACCACTGCGCCAGGGCACAGGACCTATTGGTCCAGGCCATGGCAGAGTGGGGGGTTGCGGTGGCTGCTGTGGCGGAGCCATACTTTGTCCCCCCGCGGGGGAATTGGGCGGGGGATCGGGAGGAGACGGTGGCCATAGTGGCGTCGACTGCCGGACACTCCCCCCCTCTAGTGGTGAAGGAACGCGGGTCAGGGTTCGTGGCGGCGAGGTGGGGAGAAGTCATCCTAATTGGGGTGTACTTCTCTCCAAACCGCACCCTAGCCCAATTCCAGGCGTTCCTGGAGACCCTAGAGAGGGCGGTGAGGAGGGCAGCCCCGACGCCGGTGTTGGTGTTGGGGGACTTCAACGCCAAGAGCGCGGCGTGGGGTTCTCCGGTCACCAATACCAGGGGGCCAGAGTTGGAAAATTGGGCGGCAGTCCTAGGGCTAGCCATCCTCAACCGGGGCCATGCCAACACGTGCGTTCGGCGAAATGGGGGGTCAATCGTGGACGTCACGTTTGCGACCCCCTCATTAGCCGCGCGAGTATCAGGCTGGCAGGTCCTGGAGGACGAGGAGACTCTCTCCGATCATAAATATATACGGATGAGGGTCTCCCATACGCCGCCCACGACGGCCTCCAACACGGCCCCCGGGGGGGGCTTTCCCAAATGGGCACTCACCCGCCTGGACCTTGAGCTCGCAGAGGAAGCAGCCATGGTCCAGGCGTGGTGCCCCCCCCCACCGGCCACCGTCGACGTGGAGCAGAGGGCGGTCAAGTTCAGGGAAGACTTGACCGCCGTCTGCGAGCGGGCCATGCCCAGGGTCAGAGGGACCCCGGGCAAAAAGAGTGTGTACTGGTGGACCGCGGAGATTGGGGACCTCCGCACCGCCAGTACCACGGCCCGGCGGGCCTACGGCCGATGCCGCCGCAGGCGCCACACCCAAAGTGAGGAGAGAAGGCTCCACAGCGCCCTTCAGGCCGCGAGGCAGGCCCTGAAGGTCGCAATAGGGCGGGCCAAGGACTCCGCGAAAGAGGAGTTCTTGGCCACCCTGGACGCGGACCCATGGGGGAGGCCGTACAAAGTTGTGCGCAACAAAATGTACGGCGCATCTCCCATGGAGTCACTGGAGCTGAATCTCCTCAACCGGGTGGTGGAGGGCCTTTTCCCCGAACCGCAGCCCTTCACCCCACCGGCCATGGTGCCCCCCAGAGCAGACGGGGGGCAGACTGAGGAACCCCCCCCGGAAATCACCGAGGGGGAGTTGGAGTGGGCGGTGGGACGGCTGCGGGGGCGGAAGAAGGCTCCCGGCCCGGACGGGGTACCGGGACGAGTCCTTCGCGTTGCCCTGAAGCATCTCGGGACCCGCCTCAAGCATCTCATGGATGACTGTTTGAGGACGGGGTTGTTCCCGAGATGCTGGAAGGAGGGAAGGCTCGTCCTGGTGCCCAAGCCGGGCCGACCTGCGGACTCCCCCTCGGGGTTCAGGCCCCTCGTCCTGCTGGACGAGGTGGCGAAGATCCTGGAGCGAATCATCGCCTCCAGGATCAACGAACACTTGAGGGGGACAGGCCCCGATGTGTCGCAGGGGCAGTACGGGTTCAGGGCTGGACTCTCCACCCTGGACGCCCTGGAGTCGCTGCGACACATCGTGGAGGAGGGTAACGGCGAGAGGGAAGGCGTGGTGGCTGTGTCGTTGGACATAGCCAACGCCTTCGGCACTCTCCCCTTCGCCGTTATCAGGGAGGCGCTGAGGTACCATAATATCCCCAGGTACCTCAGCCGTCTGGTGGAGCACTACCTGGAGGACAGGGTGGTGCTCTACCAGACGAGGGAAGGGAGGCGCGCCGAGCGCCCAATGAGGTGCGGAGTACCCCAGGGGTCCGTATTAGGACCACTACTGTGGAACCTGGGGTACGATTGGGTGCTGAGGGGCGCGCTGCTCCCCCGGACGGCGGTCATCGCGTACGCCGATGACACGCTGGTGGCCGTCCGGGGGACCACCTTCCAGGAGGCGGCCCGAAGAGCCTCAGTAGCGGCGGACATGGTGGTCCGCCGAATACAACTGCTGGGGCTCGAGGTCGCCGTGCCGAAGACGGATGTGGCCGTCTTCGGCGGGAGGGGTAGAGGTTGGGCGGTGCCGGCAGGCGCCCACATCTCCATCGCGGGAGTATCGGTCCCGGTCAAGTCCCAGATGAAATATCTGGGACTTGTCCTAGACCGGCGATGGAACTTCGGGGAGCATTTTCGGCAACTTGCTCCCCGAATAGTGGGCGCCGCATCGGCGTTGGGCAGGCTCCTGCCCAACCTCGGGAGGCCGGGAGCCCCATGCAGAAGGCTATACGCCGGGGTGACCCGGAGTATGGCCTTATACGGGGCTCCCATTTGGAGTGGGGCCTTATCAGCGGCGACGAAGTCGCTGCTGAGGAGGCCCCAGAGGGTGGTCGCCCTGCGAATGTGCAGGGCGTACATGACGGTGGCCTGCGCTGCCGCATGCGTCCTCGCCGGTACTCCGCCGTGGGACCTCGAAGCCGAGGTCCTGGCGGAGGTCCGCACCTACCGGCGGGGAATGAGGGACCGAGGCGAGCGACCCGCTCCCCAAGAGGTGGAGCGGGAGCGCCGCCTCGCGGCGCAGCGCATGCGGGACCGGTGGAAAGAGGGCTTGGCGGATCCCCCCTATGGTGCTCGTACCATAGAGGCGATTCGCCCTGTCCTCGTAGAGTGGGTAAACCGGTCCCACGGGCCACTGTCGTACCACCTTGTGCAGGTGCTGACCGGGCACGGTTGCTTCGGTCACTACCTGCACAAGGTGGCGAGGAGGGAACCGTCCCCGTCGTGCCACGAGTGCGGCGCTGCGGATGACACCGCGCAGCACACCCTAGAGGTGTGTAGCCGGTGGGATGAGCAGCGCCGCACTCTGACGGGGACTATAGGGCAGGACCTCTCGTTGCCGAGCGTGGTTGCCGCCATGCTCGATAGCGAGGAGTCCTGGGAGGCGATGGCCTCCTTTTGCACAGAGGTTATGTCGCAAAAGGAGGCCGCGGAGCGGGTGCGCGAGGACGCGGCGGACGCGCACCCGCTCCGGCGCAGACGTACGGGGAGAAGGCGAAGGCAGTTCGCTGCTCGCCTGATCCCCTAGTGAGACCAGCGGGCTCTGGACAGGGACTCCGGAGCCTACATTGCACGGCCTCACTCGTCTGGGGGGCGGGTCGGAGGACAACCGACTCGCCCCTCCGTTGGCGCGGGAGCCCTGGCGCAAGCTAGGGCGGCCGGGCGGCGTCGTGGTGAATGTTCACTGATCCCACGGCGCCGACTCAACCGGCGAGAGGGAAACCCGGGGGGGTTTTAGTGGGGTAGGCCTTTCAGTGTGGAGGGAGAGTCCCCACATAACCCCTGAGTCTCCCTGGGCTCAGGGGTATCCATAAAGATTTCCCCCCCGTCAAAAAAAAAAAAAAAATCCGATTAGATCCTCTCGATTCTACCATACT